AATGATTTGAAAGGAGAAAAGTGATTCACCTCCACTCTCGTTTCCGCTCGTTCTCTGAAGTTCTAGATTTCTCGAGGAAAGAGAAAAACGGGGTGGACAGAGAGAGGCAAAAAGATAGCGGCATGTGAACGTAAATCAGTCAATGTTGTTTAACTAACGCTCGCGCGAGAGTGTAAAGCGCGTCTCGGAGAGCTACTACCATCTTTCTGTTTTCTGCGTTCGATTTTTCTCTCTGGTGCGGTGGTTTCCGTCTCCCCTCGCGCGGCATACTTTTTCTTCCTCGAGCCGTTTGAACTGCAACGACCCTCGGCTGGAATTACATTATCGACACTGCCAAGTTCACTTCTGTTTACATTCGGCATGCCACACGTAGCTGTGAACGAGGATACGCTCTTCTTTCACTTCTCTCGTGAATGATCGAACTGATCATGAAATTTTTACGAGAAATACCGGACTCGTCGCAGACTGCCTACAAAATGTATGTTCTAAAAACTTTTTTGCTGGAGCCTGAAAATTCGTGCGATTTTTAACAGTTTTCAGAAACGAGTTGACACGTTTGACACCATTTTTGCTTTATAAATGACAGAATTTAGTATATTTAATTAATTGCCGTTATTTTTTGACGTTTTAATATACACGCGCCAATGTAGTTTACAAATTCTAGTTTCACAGCTGTTCCAAATATTCAAGGAAACACTCGGTGGGATTATAAATCACCGTCGCGCGGCTACGATCGCTATTTGTAATGAGCGAGCTGTTGTCGCTATTATCTCGTCGTAGGCCTTTTATTTCCAGGCATTTTATTTTTACACGTATCGTATACGCGCGGTGCGTATTTCCGTTACAGCGGTCGTGCTTATTCAACAGGTTTACAGCAAGGATGCCCGTAGTAGAAATCGCTCTCGAGTCCCCGCGCTTATGTTTCATAAATGGAGCAGAAATTATTCCTCGTACACGCGGGTGCTCTCTCTCGCCAGCACGAAGAGCGATAAAATCGACGGCGGCAAGTCGATGGCGTTCCCGTAAATCCCGTGCATATTAGCGAAACCGAGAAGACACTAGATTAACGCTCGACACGGTTATATTGTCGGTGTAAATTAACTTAAGACTTTTACCAAAACTTTTAAAAGCCGGGAGATATTAAAATGACTCCAGGAAAAGTTTTAGGAAAGGAATTTTTAAGGATCAGCCAACCTAATAAATGGACATGAGAATTGTAAAATCATTGTAGAATCGACATTACTTATCCGTGTTCTAATTTTATTATGTTCAGTATCTCGATTATAAAAAAATAATAAAAAATATTAAGGTCACGTTCTGTTTTGTTTTATAGTTGAAAGTACAGTCGAAGTTTTACTTTGTGAAAGACGGAGAGAAAAGATCTTACTCGTCGGCAAGAACCAGAAAAGCGAGCGAATTTTTCGTCCGCCACCTTCTGCAAACGTTAAGGTTGCATCAGATATTATGGCGAGTGTTACTCGGTCGCAGATATCTAAAATTAGGTGCGCGAGCATTAATATGTATTATTGCGACTCGAGCTAGTCGGGAGTCCTTGATATCAGTGACTAAACATCTCGCCTACCTTATAATGTTGCGTTATGTATGACTCTACAATGCTGCACACGTTAATCGCTATTGCCATTTCTCTACGTCATCGTTCTTGCAGATCCGCTCTCTGCGAATATTATCTGCAAATATTTTCGTTTCAGGGTATCACTCAGACTCATCGGGCTGATCTGCGACGTATGCGAATAAATGCTCCGATTTTGTGGTTTTCATACGATTTATGTTCGATATATTTAATTACGTGACTTACGTAATGAGCCAATGAACGGTGGTAATGGCGTTTACGGAGCTCAGCAACGTAAGCGTCGTCGCAAAGTGTGTTTTTGAACGAGACTTACACGGCCAGACATAGTCTTTATTTACCGCAATCTTGCATTAAGTGTGTAATTATCGCGCGAATAACGACAATCTACAGGGTGACAATCGGGAAGTTGCTGAAACTAAATTGTTGTTATTTTGCAATGAATGGACGGAATGAAATGAATTAAACATTGTGCTGTAGGAGAAAAACATTATAGAATTCGGCTGGATGCATGGCTTAGTGACATATGTTTTCGAAATGAATACGCACAATAATTGAGGCGCTTTTTAAAACTATATTGTTAAATTCGTAGTGGCAAATTATATATACTCAATTCGAGTTATTTTTAACCATTTTTGTAAGTCGCCGCTACTCCTACTGAATATGTCGTTAATTTAACTGAAACAATGTTAATTTAACGAAACCAATGGAGTTAAAATAATAAATTTCGACACACATGGCAGTTAAAAATAAGAAAATGTTATTTAACTTAAGGTACTGGTTTAAATTTCATTGTTTAATATTTAACGGTGAATTAAATATATTTTCTAACATTAGTAACTGTAACTATGCTCTCGAAGATAAATTCTTTTCACGGAAATGGACGCTCATGCCGGAATATTCTGAATATATATATATATCACTGAACCATGCAAATAGCCAAATTTTCGGCTTTTTATAAAGATTTATTTATTTTCAAAAGTTTCTAAATGTATATTCCTTTTCTACTATGTTAACAAACATGATTGGTTCCTTCTGCAAAGTAATGTTTAATTTATATTTCATCCTGTCCATTAATTACAAAATATTCAGTTTCAGCAGCGACCCGATTGTTACCCTATATATGCACTCGTTGATTTTTTAATTATCTTAGAATAGATATTCTATCATATCTAGTTTTAAGCGACCGGTTTTAAATTGTTATTTTGGATCTCGTCAATATTTGCCGCGTGTATATCGGATGATGTATTACGCGGATTCGATCGTGGCGAGTATTATTCCCCGTTTGATGTGCTTAACGCTCGTCTCGCTCGAAAATAAAATTCTTTACTCGGCAGAAAAATGTTGCCCATTTGTGTCCTGAAAATACCGATCGCGGCGTGAGAATGCGGCGAGAATTTCGCGGAGGGAGGAGCGAATTCGCGTCTCATGTTAAACGCACGCTAAAAATTATTTGCGGACTCAGTGCCGATAGAATAAGAAACCTTAGCCAATTTAGCGGTAAGACCCCGAGCGTTTCAGAGAAGATCTCCCCATTTGTTCATTCGCCGGGGCTACCTTGGAAATACCGCGCGTGGCGTTGTTCGCGTTCGCACGCCGGAGGGCTGCGTGTTATTGATTTTTCGAGGACCACCCCGCCGGTATCGAGGCTCATCTCGATTAGATTGATTGGCCGACAATGATCGCTCGACGACCGCCCGTTTACACGGCAATATCGCAAACGCTGATTGTACGGCGATAAGCATCCGAAAGGATTACGGCTAATGCAATTAGTATGTGCTCGCGATTGAACGACCCTTTCCTGAGAGCTCCTGAAAAAAAGTTAAAGCAGCGAGAGGGTAGCTCAAATCGCTGTTATACTAGCGATTGCGATTTATTTATTTAAATGAGCAATTTTGATGTATTTAAGATCATTGTTGTATCACGTACGATATCTCGCTTAGATAGTAATATTTTGTCAGTAAAGATTGACAGTTAATTGTTGATAAAGAAAAAATTGATCTTGTAGTTATAAGATACTTTAAAATAAGGTATTATATATAAAGTAGGCTTAACCAATGAACAATTTTATTAATTTAATTTGAATTGTAACGTGAGACTTGCAACGGACTTATGGCTCCATCTTGCGTACGCCAGAAATCATGTTAGACTGGAATTTCGGGATAATGCGTTTCAATATAAATTATATTTACATTTTTCCAATCCTGAAATTATGCAGTCAGAATTTCTGAAATGATAATAAGGAGCATGAGAAAACTTATTTTTCAGTTAGTTTTTATCAAGCGAATTAATATTGCCCTTGCATAGAAATATATTTATCGTAGGAAGGCAAATAAACTCACGCGATGAGGATTTTATAGTGATAAAAATTTCACTTTGAAACTATATTTGTATTTCTGTTAAATAAATTTAGAAAATTTCTAATATTTAAACTGATTAAAATAATTTCTGATTAAAAATAATAAATATAAGAGATTAATTTTATTTGCCATGTTGTTCTACTGCTGTTACCGACAAGTACAATAGATAGATTTATTGCATATCCCCGTAGGGTTCGCAATCTACTACCATCCACAGCCCAGTTTTTATGTAGAGACCCAGAATGTTCTAAATTTTGCTGCTATCGCAAAAAAAAATTAAAAAGTGTGGATTGGCAACCTACATTATATAGCGTGGAAAAGAATGATTCCGAATATCCTTCGAATCCGAAAGAATTCACAGATCTTGTAAATATTGAAAATAGCGATAACCAACGGCTTAACACGTCTCTTTCCGAAAGACGGAGCCCAGTTTTCTCTGCACAAGGGGCTGAATCTTGCACGGAGGAGCGCAGCTTTCGGAAAAAAATTCCATGGCTCCAGTGGACTCGAACCTGGTTCCTCAGATTACGAGGCTCTACCACTAGACCACACTGCCGCTCACCGACAAGTACATTCATTATAGATATACGCGAATCACAGATATATTACACTGAACAATAAGTTATATGAATGTGATTATTTAATAACATTTTCAATTGCCATGAAATGCATAAACAATATTTATTGCCGTATATTATTCACAGTAGATATAACAGATTATAATACAAGTAGCGATATCAAATATTTTATATTTTTATTTCTTTTATATTTATATTTAAAATGTTATTAAATAAAACAGCTTAATACGAATGAGATATGCTTAAAATTCATCCATATTAAGGTACTTTTGCGAATGGATTGTAAAAAAGTTTTCAAACACTCACTTAGTTTTGTTAATAATAATAATAAATAATAATAATACAATTCCTTCGTTTCTTTGGATACTGATTGATGTAACAACGAAATTAATCTATATTGCCGCTTCAAATCATTGATTACGGTTGAATGAAGCTGGAGCCGGATGAATCGGGAAAAAGCGGACTCGTTTATAATATGTCTAATCGTATTTATTTGTTCATGTAGTGTAATAGTCGCTATATGCTTAAATACAGGTGGTCTATTGCAGAAACGAATATACCAAAACTTAATAATGTACACGCTAATTTAAGTGATTCTTTAAATAGATATCGATTACATCGTCCAACAAGAAGAAAGGGCGGTAGCGTTAATATATTAATTTTATCAGATGTAAATACTAAACGAGTCGAAGAAAGTAGGTCTAAGGGGGCGGTTTCCTGCAAACGCAGTAAGGTTATTTTCTCCGTGATAAGGGAAGAAGGGAAAGTATAAAAAGAAGTGATAGAGGGATGAGAAGAAAGGAGGATGAGGACAGTCTCTATACAAAAGTAATTGGCGTCAGGCAAGAAACTCAAACGCGCACGGACAGGCGAGAATAACACTATGGTACAAAGTTGACGAGATAATACTTTTTTTTCCTTAGCGAGATTAGATCGATTATAATCTTTTCTCACGCTCCCTCTCACGCAGATTCACGCTCTTTCAGTCTCTCTTTCACGCTCTCCTTTTTTTCTCCTTTCTCTCCCGCTCTCTCATTCGTCTTCTCACTCAGGTCTTTCACACGCGTTATACGACAATGGCTGCAATAATAATTGTTATTGTGATGTAAAACGTAACACATTAACGCTTTGCGAACGAGCGAGACCTTTAAGAAATATAATTAATTAATTAATTGTCATGCGTTATAGCGCTGCTTTACGCGCGCGCAAGGTATAAAGGGGAATCTGCGCATGGCTTGGTGTGCAAAAGTTTTGCCTCGGACAATATCGAGCGGGAAAAACGGTTTCCGAATTTCGTTTACGTGCCATGCACACCGTTTTTCTCGAGCTCGAGTTTCCGTTTGCGTCGCTTCCGTGCACAGCAATAATTATTATCGCCTTCGTCGGGAACGGCGAAGGCAAATAAAAAGAAGAGGACCAAAGGACCAAATATCTTACATAAATCTCAATACTCTCTTTACAATGCGAAATTCTTCATCTTTGGTAAACACTACTAAATAAATATCGTCGCTTAGAGTAAAGGGTCGTGCTAAACCAAAGGTAGTCGTAATTCGCTCGCGGCTCGTCGAGATAAAAAAAAGTTCGAAGACGGGCGCGAAACGTTTCGCTTTGAAAGTCCGAGCCCTCTTTCGCTCGACGGACTCTCGCTTTTTTGGTCGTGGAAGCTTGTTCCGTTCCTCGCTCGATACTCGATGGTCTAAAGAAAAATCGCGCAAGCTATTTCGGCCAGATTCGTTCGTTTTAGAAAGAAAACGCAGACTTGGCGATCGAAAAATTCGCACGCAAAAAATAAAAGTGTTTTGTGGCCGTGAGAGACCGTGCACTCGGGGAACAAACTAGAAAAATAGACACGCCTATATATATATGTATAGATATATATACGAGGTCCTGCAGTACGATCCGGTGCTCGAGGATGCTGCTCCTATGTCGTGATGTGGCGCGAACGTCGATATACCCTTCTGGTATCATATTATTTCTAAACTGTTACGGTGCGTGTGGCTGTGCGTAGATACGATAGTAGAAACAAGAATAGTAGAAATATATAAGCGATTCGTCGATCGGGGCTTCTTGTGCCGTCCGAGTGCCCGCTGCCGGACGAAGTGATCCTTAATTGGACGATCCAATTGGAATCTGACATCGATCTTTCGTCGCGTAAACAACGAACTACTTGATGCCACCCGATCTTTAATCGTTCAGCAAACCGAAGTTGATAAAACCTCGTAATCTTGGTTGTTCTAGACAAGTGATCCAGATAAATAAAAATGAAAAAGATATACTTTTGACGAGTTTCAGCTCATACTTTACGCTCATATTAAATATTCGACTCAACGAAGTTCAATTTCTATTCATGCGCTGATAATTACATCAGGATCAATGAAGACGCAATCGATTCGCTTTTCGCTGCTGATCGAGAATCCTCAATTTAGAAATAAAATCAAAATTGGTCTCGTTGCCACTTTCGTTTCGTTCGTGCCGAACGAAGCAAAGTCGCCGTCGGGAGACTCGCGGTCGCGAGTGTTTGTTTCACTGGTCAGCGCTGACGCGAGTCGATCGTCGTTTAAGCTATCAGGGCGATGATCGGACCTCGGACGAGAGTCGCGGATTTTCCTCTTATTCGCGTATATAAATAAACCTAGCCTAACGCCTATGTCACATTATATAAACTCGACGAAAGTTGTCTACTTACTCGGTCTGCCTATTCACTAAATAGCCTCTATTTCTCGCACGCCATTCTCTCCCATGTCGCAATCTATTGTTTTTTTCCGGCACTATGCTTCGCATCCTCGAGTTTCGCGAGTTTCTAGATCGACACCGAGTCTATCTATACTCGCGCTGCACGTTTAAAGTTTTCGAGCGCGTGATCTCGGGATCGGGGAGATAACGAGCGTCGATTAAACGACTCATGGAATTCATGCAACGAATCGCAACCAAGGAAGACCCAATGCATTTCTCGCGCTTCTCCGAATAAAAAGCCCTCTCCTGTCTCCCTCGAATAACGTTGATTCGCACAATAATCAGTCCCTTTCGAAATTCTTATCTCTCCTCCAACAAATCGGCTATCTCGCGGTGGTGTTAAAGTTATTGTTCAGAAAAGATGAACGTTGCCGTTGAGATGACACTGTTTACGATGCGTATTGCAGCACGAGGCTTCTCCAAAGAACACGTTTTCTCCGTTCGAAGATCTCTTCTCGGACGTTTTTCTCGATTCCCGGTCGTGTCTAGCGCGCGCTTTAGCACGACGAGCTTTTAAGCTCGCCGATATCAGCGATGTTCTGCAGCAGGGGTGCGGCTTCGCTGTTGGCCTGGGACTTGGCGTTGTAGCGTTGCTTGCTCAGCGCCGAAAGCAGGCTCGCGTTCGTCGACATCAGACGCGAATTCGCGGCACCCAGGGCAGCTATTTGCTGTTCCTGCGCGTCGATCACGCGCTGCTTGTACGACAACGCCGCCGACATCTTCTGCTGTTCGCGACGTAGCTCCTCCTCCACGGAGATTAACCTGCGAGCAAAAAAGGGAATGTTAAATTGGGGCTGAAAGCGTGATCGCGCGAGAAGGAGAGAAAAAACATGTTTGACATAAAAACTACAGCGCGTCTCATCGGAAATGTTCCTCAAAACGATCTTTATTCTTTGAGAGCCTCTTCAGGAATGCCGAAGTTATTATTTCAAAAGATTGCGTTACACGCGAAGAATAAAGAGCGTCGAGGAATCAAGCACACGCGTCGAATCGAGCTTCGGCTACCAACTCTCTCGAGTTTCTACTATTCCATTCGTATCATTTTATTTTTGGGCCGAGATATCCAATTCCGTTGTTCTATTTGAAACTGAGAGACGTTACAGCGAAGCTGAAAAAGAACCAAGCGCCGACGATGCACAATTATTGAAACAACATCGATAGATAAAAATAAAGCTGTAAGAAGCAATAGTGTTCGGTGCATAATTTAATATACTCTTGGAAGAGGATAACTGGAATATATATAAGGTCTTCCCAGAAGCTATATGTATATGTTTGCTCTGTATCACAATAATAGCGAGTATGTATGTATAAATGAAAGAGAGAAAAAAGAAATGTCTACATATTGGAGAGTTTGGTACAACTCCCGCGATGAACATCTGCAGATATGGCAGATATGGACATTTCTTTCTTTATGACACACGCAGATGATCGCCGAGAGTCACTGAATATATCCGTGCACATGACCAGAATGAACATGTTGGAATATGTGATGTCGTGAGGTGTGTCGGTGTTCGATGAGCGCCAATTCGGTGATAGATTGATAATAATGACGCTTCGTGATCGGTATAAATGTCAAAACGGTGAACACGATAATTTTCGTTTTAAGTTTAATTCCGAGTGGCGGATTTTCGAAAACCAAGATAGAACACGATGAGAAGCTAACATGTGAATGTAAAAATGTAAGAAAAGCTTAGAAATATAATTGACTCTTACACCAAAGGTCCAGATCAAGCCAGAGTATACCAAATGCAGCGGATAGAATGCACAGGAACACACAATCAGTTAAACATACATCGTTTCGATAAAGTAGCCGTTCATATACGGGTGAGTGTTTCCCCATTAGTTCCGTTAGACATAGAAAAAGTGGTACACGCGATTAGACGACGTTCATCTTTATCAGCATAGACACGAAATAGACAACAATTCTAAAGCTAGTGTCTATAAAATGTCACGTTATTTATTATCAAGAAAATTGAAATTCAATTCGTTGGTAATTAATCACGAATTTATATGAATTGTAAATTCCACAAAACTGTACTTCTTATGAGGTATAACGTTGAACAAAAGTTGCCAATTTGAATGAATCATTCTACATGACTTTTTTATGGAAGAATTTCTTTATGGAGACTTCAAATGAATCTCACGACAAGTCGAGAAATGAGGATATGGAAGATCGAGTGGCTGAACATGGCGATACGTCGAAGTGAAATACGCATAGACAGTGATAATGATCACGGTGGTATCAGGGTTCACACTCAGGCAAAGATTCGGTAATTGTTTAGCGACGCTAGCACGGAAATGAGGATGAAGTACCTGGAAATGATGCTCTTCATGTTGTTGTCGGACGCGAGGTCTAAATCGGCATCCTCGGTGGCGCCTAATCGCGCGCGCAATCGCAGCCGATCTACGCTATTCTGTAGCCTCTCCACCTCATACAGATCCACTTCGTACTGGAAACGAAGAAACGTGTTAGTTACGAGACAGATAGAAAGGATGTCTGCATAGAGAAATATTCGTTAGACAAATTACAGAAAATTAGAATTGTTTATATATAGTCAGTAGATCCGTAGCGAAGTAAAGAATCTGTTATTTACAATTTAGTTTATATAGCTTTTGAAGAATTGTAGATTTTCCCATCATTCAAGATTATTCAAGAAACGATCGTTAATTCGATTCAGATATTCAATTTATGTCGCCTCATTAATTGCCCACAGCGCGTAAAATAAATTGCAAGTATCTTTCATTGGCTCACCTGATCGATGCTTCGATGACTGCGAGACTTGCTTCTCCTGGTGGTGCAATTCTCTTCCTCACTGGTATCCGACAGGTCCCTCGTGGAATCGAGGGAGAGTCTTCTTCGGAGCTTCGTGCAACAAACGTCCTGCGTGTGCTCCGAGTTGTTTCTTTGATTGCCCTGTCGCCATTGGTTCTGACCGTTTCTCTGGTGATTTCGCACGTTATTCTTAGGCGGTGGCGAAGGGCTCAGATCGACACCTCTTACACTGTCGATGCCACCGCCGCCGCTACCATCTCTCTCTTCGGAACTAGTGCTGCCTCGTCTGCCTGTCCTCGCGTGATTCGACTCCATATGGTAAACAGGATTCGCGAATGCTAGCGGTGCCGTGTTGAGAATATGCGCGTTCGCATTGTTGCTGCTGAGATCCACCGGGCTGGAGCTCTGGCTGTAAGCGGCGAAGCTCTGATAACCGGAAGAAGCCACGTTGCTCAATTGCGAGATGGAGATCTGCGAGCCCTTCTGCGACTTAGACTCCGACACTTCGTCGTCCGCGTATCTCAGTAAATCGGACAGCTCATCGAGATTGCCGTTGGCGGACGCGTTGTTTGTCTTGGAAGTGTTGTAATTATTGTTGGGCTGATGATTGATTGACAGTGTGAGATTCGTAGGCGGATTGACGACCACATTGGCGTTTACTGTGGTCTTCGAGACATTGTTATAGTTGCGCTGTTGGGTCTGATTAGCGTTTTCTTCCTTGTGACAATGGTTTCGGCTGGCTGATCTCGAGACGTTATAGTTGTTGTGATTGAAATTGTCCTCGCGATCGTGAATATCGAGATTCTGCAAGCGCGCGATATTGTGCCGATGTTGTTGCTGCTGTTGCTGCTGCGAAACAATACTGCCGTTACTCGACTGGATGCTTTGAGGTGACGCGGTGATGTTGTAATTCGAGTCCTTCAGGTTGTTGTGACTCTCGGAACGCGTGGGACTTGTCGGATGAGTCTGGCAGTGATTGACGTTTGCCAGGCTCGCGCTGGTTGTTAGTCTGTAACCTGGTCCAGATCGATTGGGGCCGAGTGGCCTGTGTTGTCGCGTAATCGGTGTCGGTGAGCGCGACACAAACGCTGGCGGCTCCAAAGGATAATCGTCGGAGCTGATTTGCAACTGCAGCTTGCCATTCGTTGGCATGTAAGCGTTTCGCGGTAGAGTCGCCGCTCTGGCGACGTTCGGACTGCGCGAACTGTTGTGACCCAAAGTATTGGTTTGCAGCACCTCGTTGCTGTCTCTGATCGTGCCGTTTATCGTGCTATGATTGCTCAGTGTCGACGTGGCCGAGATGGAGAGATTCGTGTTGCTGTTGGCGATCGTCGGATCGTTGTAGCGGAAAATATTGTTCTGTAGATTCGGGTAACGATGGGCAGTGGGTACGGGACTTGGACCCGGTTGATCCAAAGCTACGGAGATCCTGTCGAGGATCTCGGGTAATCGCGACGGTGGCATCGATGGCGAGGATGGCGCTATCGCTGTCACACTTTCTCGCAAAAGAGCGTGTAGCAGAGACAGTTGCTTGCCCAGATCTATGTAGCCATCAAATTCGAGCGAGTTATTAGTTGGTGCATCCTTTGGCAGTGGGCTCTGTTACATAAAAAATTATTTATTACTTATCTTATACCTTGAATAATTGTATATTTGCTTTAAATGTAATGATATGTATATAGTTATATACTTTCAATTATATAAAAAAATGTTTTTATATCTTTTCTATTAATCTATACATTCTATACAATTAATTATTATAAATTAAAATATGAAATAAAATATCGTAAGATATTTACGCTAATTAGCTGCAAGAAATTCTTCATAGACGGAGCCTCGCGTTCGAGTAGATCGTTCATAAATTCCATGAAATTTTCCTTGCCCTGGAATCTCGTGAAGTTCGCAAGTGTTTGGAGTGTCTTCGCAACTAGAGTAAGATTTCTCGCCGCTTTCTCGTTCGGATATTCTAAAGTATAAATTATTTTTTGTTTATAAAGATTTCTTTATGCACATTAAGTATGTATTAAATTTATATGTAATAAATTCCTTTATCACAATGGAGGATGTTACGAATATATAAAAATAAACACAATATGGATTAATAATCAATAAGCCGTGTTAATTAAAAATCAATTATGCTTTGACTTACCGTGCGTAATATTGAAGAGAGACGGACTGAGAATGGCGGGACAGAGGAATCTTAGAAAGATCGATGCGGAGATGAGATTGTCCGCGATGTCCTCGCGGCCCAGGTCTGCCAGACGCTCACGGAAAATGCGGAAGCACTCGCGTAATTCTAGCGGAAAATGAGCGTGGCTCGATAGTATTCTGCTCCAGGCCAGTTCCACAGCGTTGCGAAGGTTCTGCTGTTGTTTGTGCAAGGCGGCGACGGAAGCGACCTTGAGTGGATCCACTTCGCAATCGCCACCTTCGACCGCGCCTCTCACAACGGCTCCCAGAGTCTCCTGTAGATATCTGTCTCCGGTTAATTTCAAATAGGCTTCCATCGCCTTCGTGGCTAACGAGTTCCCTCGAAAAGTGAGTCTTTCATCATCTGAAACATTAACGAATACAAAATTATAAAATTATAAATTATAAATGGAAAACAGGAAAGAAATAAAGTAAGAATTACGAATTCTCATGAACAACAATCATGTTTGAAAAAAAGGCATTAAAGATATTAACAATTTTATGTGCAAAAATTAGTTTATACGAAGAAAGACCGACCTATTCGATGAATGTCCATCATGACGAGATCGGCGAGGAATTGCGGCGCTTTTTTCTCTCGTTGCATCACCGCTACCAAGGCAGTCGCGATGTCTTCCTTCGCCTTGACGCCGATGACGGGTTCCAATTTTTCGCATAGCGACGCATAATCGGTTTTCAGATATTCCAGAAACTCTTGATACACCTGAACCGGCAATATATCAACTGACTGGAAACGGCACTTTACTCTTAGTGCAGGAGGCTCCTTGAGAGGTCCCTTGTCACCTACTACGGGATACCATTTCTCCGTCAAGTAACGCGATGTCACATTGTGTACTGGTATACTGACAGAACCTAGAAAGGACAATCGAAATATCATTACGTGCATTTGGATCACGTTACATTGATTACAATAATTCGCATTATATAATTTTGTGTTCACATATTATTAAGTGCACATATATTTTAAAGTTAGATCTACATACAGTTTCAGACATTCTCCTGTATATAAATATAAGGTATAAATAATGTTAAGAAAATTTTGATTATTAGTGACCTAAAAAATATTAAGATTTTCTGTAATCGAATACTTACCGATTAAGACATTTTTGTCCCTCTTCTTTTTCCTGTCCGCTTCTCTGTACAGGTTCACCTGGATGGTGTTGACAGACGGCAAATGATGGAAGTCGAAATGCTCGCCCCAGAAGCACAAGTCGGCCTTCAGCTTGGCAGTCGTTCGCGCGTACAAGGTGCTGTCGAGGCAAACCTCGCAAAAATATCGCTTCTTCGCGGGCACGCCCTTCGCCTCCAGTAACCAGATCTGTAGGGAATTGTCCGTTCGGCGTGTCTGTTCCGCATCCGGCTGAACGGATTTCCTTAAGCTGCGCATACCATCAAATAGAAAGCTTAAATAGAAAGCCTGCCTATATGAATCACGTATAGATAATTTTATCAAATAAAGATCGAATAATGAATCGAAATCGAATTTAGATTTGAGAATTGTACTTCAAAATCAGATATTATCATAGCAAGTATATTTATTATAATGTTCTAATTTGCATATGTATATTCTCTCGATCCTCTTGCGGTATTACCGAGATGAATACTGCAACTTTGCATAATTCAAATCAAATGTCATATCCGTCAAGAACTTCATGGTCGAGAAACTATGCGGCAAAATCTAGAGCGTCTCGTACGGTACTCGGTTTCGAGATGATCGGTATGTCATCCTCGCATGATGAAAACGAAACAGCGGTTTAACCCGACGGGGCGATAAATAAAACGACGCGCAACCCGGTCCAACCGACCTGTGCAACCACTGGTCCCGTTCGTGAGCGGTTCTGCAGCTGAAATACTTGGGCCCGCCGGTGCTCGGCGTGACCTGGAAGCAGTGGGGCCTGCCGAGGAGGCTTGGATGCAGCGGCGTCACCGCCGCGAGGTCCATCGAGGTCACCGCCTGACCGCACAGCAGAGACTCGTGCGAACGGCATCCCCGGAGACCGGCGCCCCGTTGCTTCTGCCGCTCAAGCTTCGTTACGCTCTTCGTCCTCTTCAGAGGGTTCGACCGGAACGACCGCTTCGAGAAGAAGTTCTGCAAATGAGAAAAGACGGATCTCGATTAAGAGTCGTGCGCGGTATTTAGTGCACGAGCCATAATTCGCGAGCACACCTCGCTTGAAACGTATTGCATGTATAAATCTTATCTCTTCAGTGACATAGCAGTTGAAATTTATTGTTTTTCATATCAGCTTGTGTAATGTATATATGTACAGCAAAAGAAATTTAGATAAATTAATTAATTAAAATATAATGTAGATTTTGATATATGTTTGTACAAAATATACGGAAGCATAAGTTTCATATTACTTTGCCTGAGAAGAATTTCTTGTAATATTGTCTTTTCTTTGAGCTTTTTTTGTACACAAATTCATATACATCCTAGTCTATACCATTAATCATGACATTCTGTATTTTCTTGTCTCTCATTTCGTATATTGTTTACCACCAGAGAGAACGCATTATTCTACTTCCGGACTTGTGAGTTTGCTGTATTTCTTTCAGGCCATCGAAAGAGAACGGGTTTGGCTGGTTGCCAAACTCACAAAAAACTCGATACGCTTTCGTACAGTAGAAGAAAACTTCGTAGCATTATGTTTGATATCACAAATACCGCAGCAAGAAACATATTTGCTAATGTCCATTGTCCAATAGTATCAATTAAATAAACAGCATTCTCTCTCTCTTCTCTCTCTCTCTCTCCATTCCCCCATTTTAGTTTAATATACTATTTAATAAAAATAAAGAATGTATATATTTAATTTAACAAAAGCACTGTTTTTACAATATATTTTTATAAGTAATAAAAAATATACGAAGTGTAATTTTAAAATTTGCTGAACTTTAAAAGTAACCCATAAACGTGATTACATATCGATACTATAGGTAAGTGGCACGACGTGGTGAGGACCTTGTTCTGTCACGTAATACCAAATGTATCACTGTAACTTACTTAATATTAAGAGTATATGTGCGAATACATTTTTTATAAGTAATCAGTAATTTTTTCTTTTCAAAAATATCGAGTTTTTTCAGCAAGATTTATGTGTATGTGTGTGTGTCCAATTTTATTTTAAGTTATATTATCGAATGTTGTTTTAAGTGGATGTACAAAAAACTTTCAGAAATCTATGAGGGAAAGTACGTTAAAATTATTTTGCGGTTCTCAACCAAGTGTAAATCTATACAAGACTTAAAAAAACATGCGAAACTTGTTCCAACAAGATTAATTTTTCTTCTGATTATAAAGACGTTGTTTGCCACATAGATTTTTGCCTTATATACACAGACTTTCAATACTGTTATTTTAAAGAACCAAAAAGAGTTTTGTGCCGAGAGTTTGTCTGACTTATGGAGGAAATAAAAATGGATACTCTACTCTGTAACACTTCCGCTCATCATTGTTGCTTCGCAATTTCTTTGCAAAAAAAGATTCTATTCTTATATCAATCGCTGTACTCGTCAAAGCATTTGTAAAATTTGATTGTAAGTAAAAGAATTAGAGAATATATTCAAAAGAATTAGCTGTTAAATAATTAGACGCGATCTTGAAGAAAGCGTTTTGGAACTGCTTCTTAAAATTGAAAGAAATTGCGCAACCGATATATTGAAAAATGAGAGAAGTATTTTGAAGAGAAGACGTAATGATAGAAGTGATTAATTTATAGACAAGAGAAATAAGAAATAAGAGAAATAAATCATTCTTTATTGATAAAGAATCTGAGACTCTCTGAAAGGATTTCGCAAATGGACTTCGTAAAAGTTTCGTTTTTTTGCGACAGCCATCCGCGATATTTACCCTCGTACTAAAATAGTTGACGATCATGCTGACAACTTTGTCGTCTTCGTTCTCCTCCATTGGCTTGACGCACATTTTTCTTCTCACCATTCGCGCGGTTCCAAGTAAATTCGGCCGCGTGCGAGAGAGGCCGGGTAAATGTTTAACGAGCACTTTTATTGAGTTTTATGATACTTTTTACATCGCGAGATGAGGCGGCGGGTTCGCCAGTTAAAGTGTTTGAGGATGTTAAAGTGTTTCATCTCCTACGAAACATTTTTCACATAATCTGTCATTTGATAGTCGATAATTCGGTTTTAACATTTTTTTCTTTACTAAGCGGTATCCATAATTAATGTAGAGAATCTAAGCCGATTTTTAGTACTTTTTGAATTAAAAAAAAACCTAAATTTGAGAAAAAAGTTATAGCTTGCTAAAGTTTCTTTGATAACGGCAACTTCAAAAGATTTCGCATAGGTATAAGGTATGACGTCACAGCACATTTTCGTGTAGTTACTATATTTTCTTCAATTTTGAAGATATTGCAAAAATTCAAAAAATTTACAAAGAAAGTATGCCATGATCTATCAGACCGCTTAATAAAAAAAAATGTATGTTAAAACCGAATTCTAATATTTGAAGATTTTTGTTAAATTAAATAAACACATATTACGTAGCATTTTTTATTGTCTATAGGTTTATATCGTAATGTTATCATAATAGCGTAACATTATATATGTTTTTTGATCAATTTATATTATCGCCTATTATTACCTAAATATTATCTTATTTCCGTAATACGTTTCCAGAACAGAAGCGCATGCACCTACTACGACTAAAATGACTGTAAAACATACTGCTCGCGATATTCGTGTAATCGTTGTAAGGCTTACTTTTGGATGACTCTGTAAACTTACTTTTAACTGATTGTTTTCCATGGACATTTGTTTTCAGTGGTTTCCACGATTTTAGACGCAACGATCTCAAAACTCTTTGCGCAAGCAGCGTGCGAAGCTTTCTCGCTGCCCGTTACCGTCACGGAATATTATCGTCGTAGTAAAACGCCGCGTTATCGTGCACGTGTACGTGTTTGTGAGATAAGGCTGGCCGAATGTCAGCATGCAATTCAATCGCGCGCGACGCAACGTCGCGAGTTTTGGTTGAAAAGTTCGATGAAAATTCTCAGATACTTTTTTCGGGATTTTACTCCTCATAAAATACCGGCCCACTCGGCTCTTAATTAAAATGTATCTTTTATCACTGGCTAATGCGCACAAAAATTTCGTTATCACGCAATCCTCAATTTAACATTCTTCAATGAGTTGTTCACTGGATTCTCCGAGGGTTTTTCACGGGCAGTTAGTACGACGAGTCATCTACCCGTAAAAAATTTCTAGAAGTCATGGAAAACCGAGCACGTGCTGATTTTTTTCTCGTCTACGAAATATCCCACATTTTCTGTATCTTCAGACTCGCTGTTAGCAGAAAATCCACTGTTTTATTGTTAGCAGATGTTATTCTCGCGAGCACGAGACGGGATCACAAGAAAGAATTTTAAATATCAGACGACGATACGAGTTTCACGTTTCACACAATGGCACTTGAGCGTTTCGGAGACATTCTTCGGGCAGCCGTTAGCCGGCAAATGAATGAACGGTTCGAACAAAGTTTCTTCGAACCCACGCTCAGGTAGGTATTCTTACAGCTTTGAAAGCGACATCTCGAACGTCTTTGAAGTGCTATATACGCCCTTACGGTCTTCGCCCTATCCAAAATGGCCTTGCAGAACTTGCCGGCCGATTCCCCAACCAGTGATTTAAATTGGAAGGCCCTTTAAATGGTCACAAGCGACCTTACTTCTCTTCGCGTACGACGACCGTCCTGAATACTTCCGCGACTCACCATGCCCGATCGAGCACTTTTTGCCCACGATGCATCATATTGAATTTCATAATTCAGCTAACGAGCAGCGTCATGCATCGGCGAGGATAATGACCGATCGATGCATTACGTGAATGCATTTTGTCTTTCGCCACGGCGTCGTGACAGAGTCATGGAATGTGCTTAGGTCGCTTATAAACAGATCGTTTCGCGCGCGCGCAAATGTAGGATACCTTTTTATTATTAAATTAAGAATGACGTTCGAGACAAGATGTACCAATTGATTTTTTACATCCTTTTGTATTGATTAAAATATTGAAAATAATTCTACATTCTTTTTCATTCCACATGTAACTTCGTTACAGAGACTTTTCTTTATGATATTGAGATCGATAATTATTTATAGGTATCATTTTTATTTTATGAAATTATATATCCTTAACATTGAGTTTTGATTGTAATTGCTTTTTAAAACTCAGTTTTAAAACAGTTTTTTTAATTTAAAATTCAAATAACATTGTAACAATTATTAATTTTTAAAATCATTTTAATAATTGCTTTCTACAGTTTTTAAATAGATTATTTTCTATCAGATATTATTTTCTAAAAATTTTTATTGCAGTTTTAAAGATCGCTGTCGATCTCGAGAAACATGAAACAAGTTTCGCAGAAAGCTTAATAAGAAGTGACAAATATCGTTCATCTCAGATCTCAACTTCAGTTTCTGAGAATACCACGATTTTAAGGCTCGATTGAAAGGTGACAGGAATATCTTGATAGCAATAATTAACGTGACTGCAAAAATGTGACAACTCTGTTCAAATTTCTTTCAAGTTCACATGAAATTATTTATATGAAGAATTACTGAATTACTAATAATTTTTTCAAGAAACCTTTTTAAATTCACTGTTTATTTATGTTACTTAATTTTTGTATAAATCGGCACAAAATCACAGTTAAATTAGATTGAAAGACTGTGATTTCGTCTTCCTATAATCTTTTTGACACCAGCTACACAGTCAGTTACATACATCAGATTTTCATATATTCCAACAAACGTGCTCCAACAATTCCTTTTTAAATGACGCGAAGTAAATTTAATCACATCATGCGTAATTATAGATTTGTCAATTTATAGGTCAATGTAACTTTTTAAGATTAACCTGTTAATAAATGTTTTTGAAACACAACGACGATTATAAAGGTTTTTATCCACCACCATTTGACAAGACGTTTCTCTGAACGCGAATCGGAACTTCGTTCCGCGAGATTCCGAAGAAGCTGCGCGCGATTTCGCGGCGAAATCTCGTCGTCGACTGACGCAGATGTTGGCTCATCCGGGTAGCCGAAGTCAAGGGATCCTTGGGGCGCGCACCTTTGTGTCGCGACCGAAAACTCTGCCCCTGCATTCAGGTAAGGCAAAACGGCCTAAACCCCTCGGTTCCCCTCATGGTCCCTCTTCTACGGACGCGCGCTCCTCCGTCCCCGACGCCGCACCGGTAAGGACAAAAACGTCTTCGAGGGGTTCTCAAATCGAAGTTTGCGACATGCATGGCGTCCGCTGATTGCATCTGCGATCGGTCCCGCTCTCCCGCGTAGAACGTGCCCCGCGTACGAAATCAGCGGCCGATCGAAACGTCTCAAATGTTTCCTTTGTGGCACTTGTAATGGGCGTAAATTTATTCATTTCCGTTATGTTCTTTGAATGTTCAAGTATGGTATAAACAAAGACTATTATAAATATAAAGACTATTTAAAATAAATACGTTAGAAGTAGAATCGTGATTCTTATTTAAAGTTTATTTAAGATTCTATGTTGACCAAACTTTTAAGTTTCTTCAATTAATTCTCTAATTGCATCTTTTATTCTTCTAACTTTCTTATGAATGTTGTAAAAAAAAGATTCCAGATTCGCAAAATAATTCGTCGTTCCTTGTCATTTTTTGTCTTACCTAGAATAGCAATCGAATTATTAAGCCACGTACAGAGGACAACTGGTAAATGATTCGTTTCGTAAACGGTAGTCTGCGAGGTTCCTCAACCGGAAACAGCAGCGTAGTTGTCACGACTTGCCCCGAAACCAGTCCGTTCGTCCTTTTGTTCCTTTAAAACCCTTCACCAACGAGCCTACGATTCCCCTTCCGATCGAATGCTGAATGTGTAAACCGCCGTCACGCACCGAGCATCGTAAGAACAGCGTGTTTTCGAAAAAAAAAGTTTTTTAAAAGGTTAATTGACAGTTGAACAATACGACACGCCTATCTTTCACTTTCGTATATTTCGTATCGCGATAGTTTATATCTAATTTTTGATAGAGAATCGACATAAAATAAAATTTCTTGTCTATTTATACTTTTTAAGCTATTTTATAATATATAGCAATTACTTTATTTTATTGTAGAGACATGCAAAGAGATACGTATATCTTTAATTTGTAAATATGTTTTATTCATAGAAAAATTTGGCGGGAAAACGATCGCTTGGCGACTTGATCTAGCACGTGGGAATTGAGAACACCTGCTCGTGTGCGAAGCCTGGATCGATATTTTCATAGCGTTGCATGTTTTCACATTCGAGTTAAATAAGTGTTCCATAATAACATGGACAACAATGCGGGTAAATTGACATTTATGAAGAGAATTTTACAGAATGAATAATTCTTGAAAATATTTAGAAAAAGAAAACACTTATCCCCATATATTTCACGCATAATTTCAAAATATCTATGAAGAATCTTATATTCAAAGAAAAAATTCGAGGAATCTCGTCGTGAAAAAATAGGATGCTTCTAATGTACGAAAATAACGTGTTTCGCCTTCGAAGAAGACATCAGCTAGTTGGCGACTCGCGCAAGATGTGTGAGATCGAAGATACGTGATCGGAAGATTGAAATCTTATTCTCGTGATCGGCGAACAGAGCATGAATTGGAAGAGCAAGACAGGGATTTCTCCGGTATCTGCCCGAAAGCAGAAGTAGTATAGAAGTTCGGACGTGAATTATATGTATACGATATAATCGTATCGGAACAATCTTCCTGAGAAGGAGGACGTTAATCTGATAATATATTTCGAAATGTAGTTATACAGAGTAAACCTCCGTCCGTCCGATCCGTTGCCGCAAGAAACACCGGAATGCCGATAAATCTGCACGAGGAGAATCCGCCGCGCGTGATTAGCCGAGATCTAATCCGCGAAGTTAATGCTCTCGCTTAGACGCTGCTGACGGAAAAGTATTCGCGCGCGATAGCAATCTGCGACCCTCCGGGGTTAGAAAGAAATTCAACGTGCGATTGCGTGATGGTATCCGTTGAAGGGATCAAAAGCTAAATAAACTTTATAACAATAAAATCTGGCGATCACGACGTTCACTCGATTCAATTCTAGAAAAAAGCTTATTGTTAGGGTGACCGTTCGTTATCCTATTAAACAAACGATGTAACATTCAGCTTGAGGCCATTGTGTGATCTAGTGTCGATATTTTTATCATACACCTAAGATGCACTTGTTTAACGATCATTATGCTTTAATATTGATTTTACCACTTTCATGTTAAACAAATAAGAGCTAAAACATCGCATATAACTTAACGGTCATTACATTTAAACGCTGAACGTCGCTTTCACGTTAATAAAGTGGGAATTAGAACGCTACATTCAGCGCTAAATGTGCGGCGAGCGTACAAATTGGCGTATCGCCGTGCCGAGACATTTCGGAGTCGTTTCTACTCGCAATAATGAACAGAATAGATAAACGCGGCTGGTAATCACCAGACTCCGCAAAACCGCACGGACGTTTCCCGCTGGAGAAAATCCGATTCGCCGCACTAGGCGCGAATCACTCCGTCATTACGTCGATTGTCAGCCCGATAATATCGACAGTGAGAGGCAGGTAGATATATCACCGTGACGGCGAAATGTGGGCCCCGCCCCCCCCCCCCCATTCAATTAAATTAAATTAACGTGAAATTGTCAGACGAAAGCGCCGACTCCGTTCCGCGCGGCGCGGGGGCGACGTTAAATATAGTCGCGGATCGGTTGACGCCAGGCGCCCATGGAAAATGAGATCGCTGAACCCGTCGCCGTTGCCGTCGTCGTCGCAGCGAGGCGGTCTATATACGGAGCACCGGGATGGTATAACGAACTAATTACAACGTATCGTGTGTGCGACCGCGCGAATCCACGGACACGCGAGCATTTCGGCGGGATCTCGTGAATATTCAACGCGCCGGGCATTAAGTTAGCCGACGAGCCGGCGTAAACTATGTACGTCCTCTCGGCTGTATCCGAGGGAGGAGGCTCTTCATCCCGGGCTCTTTCACCTCGGAGAATCAATTTTCATTCATGAGCTGGCCGATCCGCGATACATACATTGCAGAATGGCCAGTCGCAATTTACGAGAGGATATTGTATGTTTAAAGCGTGTAACGAATGGAACAGAGATAAAAGTTACGCAATCAAATTCGATTTCATAAGTAAACATCTTCTATGATTCTATGACATAATTGATATTGATATGACTCTTTTTCTTTAAATTCTTAGAAATATTTGATTTTAGGCGAAACTTTGAGGTACACAACAAAAAATAATTACGTACGAATTTTCTGTCGAAAAATCAACGGCACAAAAAGTAATTTATATTATTATAAATATTTAGCAATATTTTAAAGAAGCTAAAATGCGAGATTAAATGAGAACGATAACCAACATTTTCCGATAATAATATCTTTATCACTTTTCTCAGTCATAAATATTTGTCACACTCCTGAATCGTAAATAGACATTATTAATGAAACTCGATACATATTTATAAATATAATGCAAAAATGATAATTCGAATGGACGCGGAGTGTTTGTGTGTTACGAAAATAGAATCATAGCTTATCGACGCGACAGTATTGAGTGAAGTATCCGCTTTTAGCGAATTACACCGCACAAGTAATCAAATAATTTACTTACAACGATTCTGTTTGGGGTGACATCCAGGGGTCGTGCGCCGAGCACCGGGGTTGCGGGCGCGCTACCTCTTCGACAAGCCTTCTCGTACGATGTGTCTGAAACAGAACCGAATACCTCGCGTGAGCATGCGCTTAGACGCTTAGACGCTTAGACTCAATAATAGTAATTGGCGTGTCGTGTTTCGGATACGCCCGCGGTGGTAATTCGGCCGTGCACGGCCGAAGTAAGCTGAAACCACGTTGTGGCGATGATTACATAGTCTGCGCCAATACTTGGTCTCTCGCTGACTCTGTCATTGAGCGAGTAACGCGATACGTTCGTTCAACCGACTGAAGAGCGCTTTGCTTGCACAAAGCTACAGTTAATTTTAGAGCAACAAAATCTCGAACGTAAAATCTCAAATAATTAAAGTCAGAGATCAAGTTAATGAAAATGCGCTTTCGTAAGTAGTAGATAAATTTTATGAAATAATAGAAGGTAAAATCTATTAGAGTATCATCAATAAAGTATTTTCTCATCTTTCGCTTCTATTCATTTTTCTTTGAAATTGTATTTGTCTATTTTCGTTTCTCTACTGAGCCATTTGTATGATTTGAGATAACTATAAATATTCTTGCTTTCTTTTATTTGCTATTTAAAAAAAATAAAATCTTTGATGTTAATCCTCTTGATTATATAGATATGATATTTTACGCTGGGATTACGAAGAACTGGGAATATGAGAATAATTTAACCTATTATTTCGAAAACTAGTAAAATCTCAAATGTAGAATACCTAATTTTCTCAAACATAAAATAAATATTCTCAAATTCTTAAAAAAAACTAAAAATTATTATTAAAATCCTCTAATTATAATGCTGTTTTTATGCCGGAATATTACAATAACATCAAAGTGAATTAGGAGATTTTTGCCAGATTAAAACTTAGCTTGCTTAGTTTATCTAAAAATATTCGCGGATTCGATTAACGTCGACAGAGTCTTCTTCTAACCAAAAAAGAACGCTAGTTGTATTTTACTTGCACCAATCGCTTCGGATAAGTGTACCAAGAGTAAATGGCTGCGTACTCTACTCGACGTTCAAACTCGACTTGTTCGCGTTTACTCTTTTGCCCCGGTGAAAGGCACTCGGATAACAGAAATCGGCCAAGGGAGAAGAAACAGAAAGCAGCCCCGTAATTAACGCCCTTACAAGAACCCGGGGTGCCTGCCGAGCCTTTCCCCCGAGCTTCTCTGTTTACGGTCAGCGGTTTAAACGGTTACCTCGCACAAGAGTCTCAAGTTACTTGCGCTTCTATGTAAAGGCTTCTAGACATGTACAGAGTGTTCTTGAATTCATGTCCTTAATCTTAATTAAAAACACATTTTAAAAAATCTCATTTGAAAACAACTTCTTTAATTGATTTATGGTCAATCCCCTATCGCATGAAATATCGAAGTATCAGTTTCTGAATTGTTATGAGCGATAAGAACTCTTATCTCCAAATAGATGAATATCTGGAGAAGGCAATTAAACAAAGTTTATTGTCCACTTGAATACAAATGAGCAAATGGGTTTATAATTTTAGTATTTTAGATGTATTTTTGTTAGATTTGATATTTAATCAGTTTGGAATTGGTTGAAACTGTTTAGTTAATCAGTTTTACGTTTGACGACTGAGATATCCTGAATGTGAATGTTCTTTTTACCCTATTATACTGGCGATAAGCGACAAAAAAAACGTCAATTGTACGCATAAAAGCACAATTCTCGAATGCATATTATATCAATAGTTACATAATTTCAAGCTACGACGAAGTTCTCTAAGATTTATATCCAAGCTAAAATAATGCATACAGTCAATGTAATTAAAAATCAAATTGATATATCTAAAAAGTGCAAGTTTCCGTTTGGGAATTACGATAGCGTGACGATGTATATGTTTCGTCGACGACAGTAGAAACAGGATCTCTTGCATAGGAGGATCGTGTGAAGCGAAATCAGATCTGGTTGCCAGTTTCTATTGTTCAAATATATATGTAACATAATATTTATATAATCGAAAAACGCACGGATCAAAACATTTTATAATATCATAAGCCTGATGTGATTACAAAAATCATCATTATATAATTTTTTTATCAGGTTTCCAGTGAAAAAATTGTCTTTAAGACAAGAAATATAGAATTAACGAGTGAAAAAAAAAAATATATTTCTTTTCAGATACCCGAAATAAAATAATTTCGACAACCTCAAAACTTTTCAGCGGTACTTTGTCGAGGCAAACCTCGACGATAAGCGAACAGAGATTGAATATATTGTGACTGGTCGTAATATATACCGCACGTTTGTACGGGTTATGACGAAGATAATTTTGTGCATATGCGGTTCTCTCTCCTTCCATCGTGGCTAAACATGGAGCCTAGCTGTAAAACCTTAATGCGAGCGTCCCGCCCTTTTTACGACGCAACGTAGAGAATAAAGATGTTCGGAAATAAATGCGCGGCCAATTGGAGCAATTCCGGTTAGGGCGTAAAAACATAAAAGCCGAGTAGAGATATTACGCGTGAGTGTTCCGCGTGCTTATGAGTCTTGCCGAACACACCTTACGGAAAGGATAGCACGTGTGTCGTATATCTTTCGGACAAATTATTTTCGCAGATGAATTATTATTTTGCATTACGTCACACGTAAAGTTAATTGCGATAACAGAAGCAGATGTTGATATTACGATATTTTCCTGAAATAAAATATGAATAAAATTGATCGGAGTTTTTGAGCATTTGAGCTTTGGAGATTTTATGTAGTATAATCGTTCCTGTTTATTCCTTTCAATTTCATCATGTATATTATTTGTGTATCATTTTTAAATCAATTTTATAATTATCATATATTATTGCTATACTGACGAATACATTTATTTGCATTAGATGCAAGACTGTTCTAGAATACACGTGAGTCATATATGTCATTGTTATCTTAATTAACAGTGAGGACAGATTGCGTCTTTAATCGCGAAATATTGGCGAAACGAGACGACCGACATAAAGTATCGCTGGCCGTGCGAGGCGAATCCAGAATCAACTTTTTACGAGCCTCGTAAAAGGCTCTCTGCTCTCCGGCATGCTACCTGCTAATTAATTCCTGGTTTACGGCTCATCGGCACAAAGAAAACTGCCGCGGAAAGCCACGATCGCGGTGCAGAGCTCGTCTGAAATATTTCAAGGACCCCAAAAAATCAACATTCGGTCCTACTATGTATAGATATTAGTTCATTAAAAGGATAAGATAACGAGATTCACTGGACAGACGAAATTATATACAAGTTTCTTTATGGCTGATTCTTTTGATAGTTAAAGAACTATTTAAATTGTTGACTTTGTTTCAAAACTATATTTATTTTACAAAATGTTAATCGGTATTGACAATGAATATTAAGTATGATTGCAAAAGACAAGAAATAATGACAGATTTGTTTAAATCAGAAATAGAAAAAAAGTCATCAAAGTAAAAAGGAGCGCCATTTTCGGGATATTTATTCTTGTATAATGTATTATTAAATTAAAATTAAGATAAAGTAATGTTAAGTAATTCGTTACAATTAAAACAAATCGAATTATCGAAAATTATTAAGTTAAAAACATGTCACAATTAGAAAAATTATTCTGCTCCATTCGCCAGTGAATGTTAATTAGGCTCACGATGAAGCGATCTCTCCCTCTTTCTCTTTCTCTCGCGATTCCGCCCTTTTTTCCTCGTGGCCTTGCAGCTGCACCGGTTGCATCGGCCTGGTGCAGCATGGGGAGAAACGCATCCTTTGTGCGCGCTCGAGTGGCCCGAGGAGCTAGGAGGCGACACAAAGAGAACCCGAATCGAAATCGAAACGCGACGACAGAACGAAATCGAGCGTAATGGCGGGAGTGAGTTCACTCTCCTCCTCGTCAATCCTTTCGCCTTTCGTGATTTGACGCTAACAATCGCGGCACAAGTCAGCAGTTATTAATGATCGAGAAACGAGCTAGTCGGCCGTGCGAGTGAAAGCGAGTCCTCGCGATCGCGATCGACTTCGAAGGAGATCGATCTCAGACATTTTCGAGTATTGTGCTCTGGGACCTCGCCAGAGAGTCGGGCTCATTATCAACAGACGACGGTCGAAAGAGTACAACTGCGACTATTTTTCATTGGCGGGGGTCATTTCAGTGACGGGGAGGGCGTGTGCGGCTCTGTCACAAAACGGCGACTTTATAATATGGTTTGTAGAAAAGAGGCGTTCCTGCGCTCGATAACGTTGCAGATTCGAGACCTTGCCAATCGCGATGGTAAAGGCTTGATTACTGTAATTAGGGTGCCTGGGTTGATAACATAATGGCTGTCGCTGATATTAATTATAATATAATATAATATTGTTTATAATATTGCCTATATTAGAAGCATAGGATGATTATTATTAGAACGTTATTGTATTTTAATGTAATTTAATGTTAATATGAGCATACAATGAAATTACAGGGTGATAAAAAATATAATTAAATGGTTCTAAAGTAACGTCATGGTTATCCCGAAATATATACGCTAAAATTTAATTAGTATCTCAGTATCATGTTAGAAAAGTAAAAACTTGATTTAAGAAATAAATATTGATTTTTAATTAAAATTCTAATTTTAAAATAAATACTACCAAATTTTTATTTGCGTCGTTTCAATGTACAAATAATTGGAACATATTGGGCGAAATAATCGCAAAAACTTGTCAATATCAATTACACGCATGCATCTGGCGCATAGACACGCCCAGGAAGAAGTTTTGCCAAGAGTTCTGCGATATATGTCCTCGTTTTATTCGTGCGTTTCTATTTCAGGTATTATATCCTGCACGCGGGGAGACTCATTAGTCCGCTATCGACGGCCGAAAGAGGTGCAACTGCGATTTTTCATCGCACGGCACGGCTGGTCATTAACGAGACGGAACCATAACAATGGCAGCCGCCAAGCCGCGGATATTTATGAATTGATACGACGTGGTGCTTATCGCGAGGGTCAGATAAATCACGTAGATGGGGGTCGGCGTAATTGTTACGAGCGAAATGCGCACCGTTTGGGGTCTCGTTTCGCGACA